TTTTTTTTTTTTTTTTTTTTAAAGGTGGGTCAATTACTGGAGAAAAGTGACTATGGGGGATGGGTTGAATTATCAGATCAAAATCTCACTTTGGGATCTGGGTACTTAGCTCCTCAGGCTCCTTGGAAAAATCTAGCCTTTGTGGAAGAACTTTGGCTGATGTAAAATCAACTTAGTTACTCTGATTTATAATAGTTGAGGATGTGGGCTGATATGATCACTTCTCTCTTTTAGAGGAGGAACAACTGGTCAGATCTGGGATTAGGGGTAGCTCATTACCACAGCCTACCGTGCACCAGCATGATAGAAACTGGGTTTCCCCAGGAACGTTGAGTACCTTTTTCCTGCAACACTTCATTTAAAAAATAGAAAGCAGGGCGTGTTTGAGAAGGGGAAGTTTAGTGTCCAGAGCACCAGTTCCTAAACAGTGGGCCACTGACCACTGGTGGTTTGGTTTGTGAGACCTGGGTAAGTGGTCAGATGCTGATCTACAGATTGCACCACAAACCTACAAGGAAGTTCAATTCAGAAAAATGAGACTATGTTGTTGTCTGTGTATAGGAGCCAGCATTCCCTGCTCCAGATTTTAGTCCCACTTCTGTGGTGTCAGGCTCTTTGCTTCAGTTTCCTGATCAGAAGAGTGGTATAACTGATACTTGGTTATCTGATTTAAAGTGGGCACTGCAAATTTTAATTCACATCTCAATTACAATGCTTTTCATCTTTTGAGTATATAAACAGGAGTTTTAGAAAGTTAAGTATGTCTGTGAAAGCCATATGCTCTCTTAGCTGAACTTGCCTGGGTAAATAAATTGCAGAACAAAATGATAATTAGTGACAGTTTTACTGCAAGAGATCAGCTGTCTGGTCTTACTGGAAGATGAGAACTCCTTCAGGGACATGTATTTGTGCAAGTCAAAGTGCCCAGATGCTTTGAATGTTTCTAAAGTACTTCTCAGAAGATGGAGTTTTTCAGACGCTTTGTTTTATAGAATCCCAGTGGAACTGAAAAATGTGCAAGTTCAACATCACTCACCCATATATAATTATACTCACTTTGATCGAGTTAGTGTCTTTGATTACTTTATTTATGTCAGTTGCTTCTCCGTTAAGCTTCCAAGGGTTGTGCTGCAACACAATACCTTCTCCAGCACAGCTGTACAATGTTAGAGAGGGTTTGTCACCATCACCTCCTATACAGCAGGAAAAACAAAATAGAGATATTTTCTCCAGCAAAAATATATACAGTAAGTCATGCAAGGTGCATAGGATTTGGCAGCAGGTGATTTACGACCCAAGCCTGGCTGGCTGCATCACCAACACTTAAAAAGGAAAAAACTACCCAGCAACATGGTGCTCCCTCATTCGAGAAGGACTGATAATCCATCTCCATGGCATTCACATCCTCTGCAAATGAAATGACTTCTCATTTGCTATGAGGCAGTTCCAGGACTCACCAAAAGACAGGGGAGGAACTGGAGGCCCCCAGGCTAACGTATACACAGTCTTCTTGTGATAGGTGCTGGAGATCTGAGGAGGCTTGTTCTTGGTGCTGGGTAGGAAGAGGAGGACAGAGGAGCAAATGAGTCAGATTTCTGTGAAATGCACATTCACTAGACATCTCAAGGACAGAGAAAGCTCAATGCAAAAGGTGCCACAAGTGAAGGTAGATAAGCAGCACAAAAAACCAGCAAGCAGAAATCTACCCTTGAAGCACACTTCAATGCTTCCCCCTCTGTACCGTTTGCTATAGTTATGGAATTCACAGGGCTTTTCTTATAAGCCACATTTCCACATTGCTCTCTATGCTCTGAAAAGTCTTACTTCCAGCTAGAATTGTCCATATCCAATTACCACCCACTGGCAGTATATGGTTGGACAATCTGAGCAAAGTGACTGAGAGGCAGTAGGCACACCGGAGAGACTGGGCACGATGGACACATACCCAGAACCCAGCCAACTGCACTGGATGGTGACTTAATTTATTCCTACTCTCTATACTTGCCTAATCACAAGGGTAATACAGTAGGGAAAAGAGACTCTGTCACGACCCAGCACCAGCAAGGGCCCTACTTTAAGCCTCGAAAGCAACACTGGGTATGTCTACACATTTGTTACTGCACTTTTGCTAATGCACATTAAAATTTAGTACCTCCATTGTGAGGTACTAGAAAAAAGCATATTAGCTTATTTTAATGCGCATTAGCGAAAGCACATGGTTATTTCATGACACTTTAATCTGCATAAAAATAAGCTAATGCACATTAAAGTGCACATGTACAAGTCTACTAACTACTGTTATCTAATAATAGACTCATATAGAGGTAGGACTGGGAAAAATGTCTAAAGGTCATCTGGTCCAACGCTCTAACAGAGGCAGGATCATCCCTATGAATGCATGAAATAGAGAAACGTATAAATGATCACAGCAAATGAAGCATCAATTTGACTTCAAAACTGCTCGTTTGCTTACCAAGCTTCCATTTGGCCTACCACTGAAGCTATAGTTTGTTCATTAAGACATTAATTCACCTGCAAGCTAGTTTCTTACCTGCCGGAGTAGGTGTCATATATACCAACTTTTCCATCATCTGTTCCAAAGGCTAAACAGCCTTCCTTAGTCGGGTGCCAGGATAACTGCACACAAATCAGTAAAAAGTGGTCACACAACTGCACAAGTCCACAGGTAATTTCCTTGCCCTTGTGTGTTCCTTCCAGATACTGCTCAGACAGAAAAACCTTTTAACTGGGGAGCTAGTACTGTGCCTTGTGCACCAACCTTCTGCCACCATTTATATGCATCTCTTGGATTACCGCAAATATCTAAGGCTCTTTCCTGATAAAAATGAACTGGGAAAACAGGGAAAGAGAAGTCATAAGGCTGTGTGTTATACCAACCTTCTAAAATAATATAATAAAAAAAAAGGAAGTTACTGTGAAACATGGCGAGAAGAGATGCTATCAGGGATGGATAGATAATGCTGTCTTGTCATCGCTGACAGAGAATGGGGATTTTAAGTAAGCAGTGGTTGAACTATACCCACAATTGTCCCAGCCTGTTTCTGTAAAGGCTGTCCAGGAAAACCTAGGGGCAGAGGCAGAGAATCATAACAGGTGGAAAAAATGAACAGAAATATGTTGCATAAATTAATCTTCAGAAGTTTTGCCTATGTGTAACATTGGTATTTGTGGCTGTGACAGTCCAGAATTCTGCCACCAGACAGTAAGAAATATGCTATTACAAATTAACCCAGTACATATGAACACAGGTAATATACTGATTTTATGTACCCACTAACTAGAGAAAATGTTCTCCAGAAGAGAGAAGCAAACAATACAAGGCTTAAAAAAACAAAACACAGAAAAAAGGGAACTAGAAGTACACTCACAGCTGTGACCTTGGCTTTGATACCCTGCCAGTATGTTTTCACACCATAGGCGTTGCTTATGGACAGAGTATTCCACACCCGGATCATGCTGTCCCCAACCCCTATGGCCAGGCAGCCAGTGTCCACAGGGGAGAAGGCTAGGCTGTAGACAAACCCACCAAGAGATGGCACAGTCCAGCAACAGTCTAGTGTTGCTATGTCCCAACACTTCACCTGGAGAAGTGGGGAAACAAGAAGAAAAGAGCAAATTACTGATGCAATTACAATAGTGAAAACAGGAACAAGACAAGGCAGAAAGGTTCAAGACCAGACCAAGGATGACATCCCCACTCACAGGCAAACACATTCGAGAAGTGTCCTTGGATTAGGCAAGAGGGTATGTGTGTTCATTAAAAGATGAACCTCATTCTCCCAGCCTTGGAAATGTCCCTGCAAATGGAAAGTATCTAGCACCTTCAAGTGAAAAAAATACCACATCTCCTTTGACTATTTTACTGTGCTCTACAGCTAATGCTAGTGGTAACATATGTGTGGTTTTACCAAGGGAATCTGGGTTTTGTTCAAATAAAAAAAATGTACACAGGGAAGGAAGAGATGGACAGCTCTCACTATGAATCATTTGAGTCCAGAGGGAGAAATTCTTTCACTTTGATGTAATAAAAGTCTGAGCTCATAAACCAACACAAATGTACAAAACCTACCACAGTTCAATACAATTTCTAAACAACACTGCCATAAAACTCCAGCTATAAACCCATTGTAGGAGAAGAATTTATGGTCACAGAAGACGGGCTGATTCAGTTGAAACAAATGGGCTCAGATATTTCTATTCTGTTTTAAGACAACTGGTTCTTACATCTCTGTCCATTGAAATGGAAAAGAGCAACTCTTGGCCCTGCACTCGAAGCGAGCTCAGATTGAACACGATCCGTGAGTGATTTTGCCCTTCGGAAGATCCCAAAAGTGTCCACTTGCGTTTCCCCGATTGGGCCAAATCCCATAGCAGCAGTTCACCTCTGCAAAGGGAAAGCATGCATGTTACGTTCCCCTGCACAAGGGATATATTACACACACATATTCACGCACAACCATGGCAAACCAAAATCAGTTGGGCTTGCATGGCTTTCCCCAACCCAGAATTGGACAAATAAGTACGCAGTGCATAATATTACTTAACACTGTGATGTATCCATTTAGGTTCCTGGATAAATCCCAAAACCAAAGAACTTGTAGTCTTACAAAGTTTTACCCAGGATACAATGCCAAAATCCTGGCCCTTTGACCAGTTCCATTACTTGCCTGGGTGAAGGGCTTTTATTCAGCTGGCTAGCAACTAAAACCCCAAAGCTATAGAACATGCACAGGCTAGTAAACCTACTCACCCAAAGCAACTGGACATAAGCTCCGAGGGATGGTCACTTGGCCAGTGAACAGTCAGCCAAATACGCTCTTTAATAGCAGGATCAACTGCCCCACCTCTTCTCTTCACAGAGGGCAACTTCAGAGTAATCACCCCTACAGAACCAGCAGAGATTCACTACAATGTGGCCACTGAGCATGTCAATCCTTACAGAGGATAATATGCCCTGTAACACAAAGCCTTAAATGCAATCTCTAGTGCTTCTGCTCTTAAATCACATAAATGCAGGACTGGAAGGAACCTTAAAGAGATCAGTCCATCCCCCTAGGCTGAGGCCAGATAAATATACCTACAGTATCCAAAAGATATTTTCTTAACCTGTTCTTAAAGCCTCCCATGAAGATTCCATGATCTCCCTAAGTAACCTGTTTGAGTCCTTCACTACCTTCCCAGAAAGTTCTTCTTAATATGTAACCTAAATCACCTGTGCTGTAAAATTAAGCTGATTTCTTCTCTACTCCAGCAAATAACTGATCACTATTTGAATAAGTCTTCTAGTATGGAAAAACTTGCTATTATGTCCTTCATCTGTCTTCCCTTTTTAAAACTAAACAAACCCGATTCTCTCAACTTTTCCTCCCAAGTCTTGTTTTCTAAAGTCCTTACCATTCTTGCTGCTCTCCTTTGGATTCTTGCCAATTTGACTACATTTTTCTTTAACTACACTGCCCAAAAGTGGGTGTACTACTCTGATGGAAGTCTCAACAGCGCTGAAGAGAATGAAATAATTTCATGTCTTGCATATGACCACATCTGTTCAGCCATCCCAGAATGGTGTCTGCATTGCTAAGTCACCAGGCTACCAGACAGAAAGCATGCTTAAGGCATACCATCCATGCATACTACCACTATTGCCTTAGAGAAATGTTTTTGGCTCACCTCTGCCTCTAGCACAGCTCCAGATCCGGATGGTCTGATCTTTGCTTCCTGAAGCCAGGTAACAACCTTTTGCTACAGCTGCCTCCTGTGTTAGCTCCCCATTTGGAACCTCACCTTCTTTCAGGAGAAATATTAAATGGTGTTAAAACAATGGTAAAACACTTGGGAAATACAAAGCACAAATAAAAGCAAAGATGATGAAGTTCAGCTATGCTGCCCAAAGAATAGATTCTTCTGTAAAGCAGACTGAGTTTATTTTAAATCAGACTGAATCCCAGGCTGCCTCAGACTCCTATTTTTATTAATGAAACAAGGAACTGATTTGGTTACAAGGAATTACCCAGAGCCTCCTAACAGTCTGTGCGTACCTTGAAGCTCTTCTTGCCAACTATATAATCCTTCTTCATTGGGCACAGGACACCATGCCAGGGAGTGTATTTCGTCATCATGACCTCTCAGGCGATGAATAATTTCTTTTTTCCTGCTGATGTCGATTATAACCACCATGCCATCCTTGTAACTAAAAACAAGCAGTTAGACAGTGATGAAAAAATGCTTAAGAGTCTCATAACAATGATACTGAATTGGCATATAGTGACTTTTGTTAGCAAAGTGCTTTGCCAAGAAGGTAAGCATCACTATCCCCATTTTACACATGGAGGGAGAAGTGACCAAGGTCATCCACGAAGCTAGAGGTCAAGCTGGGAAGATCCCAGGTATATGGAGTTCCACAATGCTCTATGCACTGGGACATACTGCCTCTTGCATGCATAGGTCAGATCCTCAGCTGGTGTAAACTAACATACCTCCCATTGACCTCAGGAGTAATGCAACATACAAGACAATGATCCCCCAAGGATCAACACTACTGACCTTGGGGAACTTAAAAAGCAAGGGATCTTTTGTTCAGAAAGATTTAATTTCTTTTTCTAAAATTCATTTCATGCCATCCCCTTTCCTGTGTTAGCTTTCCCTCCACATAATCTTGTCTTAGATTGCCAAGTAACCATCACAATGGACCCAGCATAAAGCAGGAACAGGTGCTGTGCTCAAGAGGGCTGGAACTGCAGTTGGGCAGCAAAGGCCTCATGAAGCTATGGGGAGTGGCACAAAAAGGAAACCATCAGTTTGTGGAACTGTATAGGTCAAAGCCACAGAGTCAGCAAACACAGTTATCTTGTTACCTCCAGCTCTGTACCCAACACCCAGTCACTTACATGAGATGTAGACTGACAGTCAGCCCAGATTCACAGACTGCTACAAACTTTCTGAGACTAGTGAGTCTGTGAGATCCGGCATTTCTGGGTTACTTACAAGACTTCTCCATTACATAACAGAAAGCCGATAAGTAGGTTGTTCATTTAGGTACTTCTTTTTCCCCCCACGCCACTCAAAGAGAACTAGCCAAATCCCTAAACCACCACCACCGTTTCTGAAAGAATAGCCTTAAAATTATGCTGCAATCAAAACACCCCCCCCCATCTACCTTGCAGCATAAGAAAGGGGAGCGACATAATTAACACTTACCCAATAGCTACCAGGTTCTCCTGGTGAGGGGAACACGTGAGGCAGAAGATAGTCCTAGGCTCAGGGAAGAACTGTTGGCTGTCATTTCTGTTACGCCAATAACAAATGATGATGCCTTTCTCATCACCAGATACAACCAGATCTTTCACAAGGGGTGACCAATGCAAGGCTGAGATTGTATTCTGAAAATACAGAGCGATTAACCAGGGCATGACAAAGTCTTGTCTCTAACCCCATATTAGGCAGAGATGAACTGTGAAACAATACTAAATGAGGCAGCTAAAGTGGTAGGAGTTTTATCTTTGGTTAAGATCATTAAAGGCATTAATGTTTAGATACAGAGCAAGATCGGGAAAGTGACAGCTGTAGCTGTCAAAGATCTGCCAGGAAATTAAAATTGCAAAGGAATCCACACACAATTGCTTACCAGGATGTCCTCCACACTAAATGTTTTTCCACAAACCAACCAACCAACCAACCAACCAGAAAACCTTCACTGACTTAACTGACATGAATTTTAAAATTAGTTTAATGAAACTGGTGTAGACCCCTACATGGATCTTTTTATTTGGTCTCAGCATGTATTTCTGCCCCCTGTTTAGCTAATAAAAGGTTTGGGAAAACTCTTGTTCTAGTGGTTTTCTTACAGCCACACAGACCTGGTTATTGGCTACTATACCTGATGGAGTGTATGCTCAGTTACAAGAGACAGAGTCTGAGTATCCCAGATTTTTACGGTTCCATCATCTGAGCTGCTTGCACAGAGGTTGGTCTGATCAGGGAAATGACAAAATGTAAATCCAGAAACCCGTTCTGTGTGACCGATGAGCTCTCCTAGGTTTGAAATACAAAAAGAGGAAACATTCACAGACCAAATTCTTGCTGAGAAACTGCTGTCCTTTCCCCATCTCTAAAAGAATACTCTTTCTACAAACTACTTGATACAAAAGATTCAATATTATGCATTGTAACATCCACCAACAAACAACTGGGGTATAAGTGGCTAGAAGCAGGAGAACCACACACTCATCCCTGCATGCCCCACACTCCATAGAAAACAAAAGTGTGGACAAAATGAATAGGAAACAGTTATTCACCAACTCCCAGAATACTAAAATAAGGGGGCAGCCACTGAAATGAGCAGGAGACAGGCAAAAAACTAACAGGAGAAAATGCTTTCTTATGCAGTGGACAGTTAATTAGTGGAACTCCCTGCCACAGGACATTGTAAAGGCAGATAGTTCAGCCAGGGCCCAAAAGGGACAGGACAATTTCATGCACGAGAGATCCATTAATAGCTATTAAACAGAAAAGTCAGCAATGTCACCTTTGACACCCTTGAACTTTCCTTTTTCATGTGCTTGTGACAAGGTATTTAGCAGAATTAACAGATGATGGTGCATGCTAGGGAGGGTATGACAGGGGTAGATCACTCTAGATCTCAGACTCCAAGTCCTCCTTGTTAGGCTCAGAGCCCCTGTTAGAAAATGCCAGCTCTTGGTTTTCATTTGCTTTTTGACTACAGAAAAACAATGGGGCGATTCTTTTGTTGCAAGGAACTCCAGAAGCCCAGAGCAGGGCAGGATGATTTTAACACTACGGATTCCCATTTGCCATCTCCAGGGTTATCCTGTGAATCACAGTGCACAGAATCCTAGAGCCACGGGGCTCGAAGGGAGCTCCACAGATTGCATGTAGTCCAACCCCTGATTCAGGCAGGATCAGCTCTATCCAAACCATCCCTGACCTGTCTAACCTCTTAGTAAAACTACCATCAACCTTGACACAACATGGACATCACACCTGAACCTGCTACAGGGAAAGAAGGGGAACTGCAGCAGCCACTGTCCTGCTCCTATAAAAGGCTGTTAACACATGGTTAAAAGATCTCAGGTAAAGGCAAAATCCTGCGTAGTCCGTACCAATCTGACTGGAGGGGGGTGGCATTCCTCCCAGCCCCCAATGCAGCACTGGTCTGACACCAAGTGGAGGGAAAGGATCTGTGAGCCAGGACCCTCTGGGTCGAGTCCCAGCAGGAGCACGACCACAGATCCCCAGCCTGGGCTGTGGCCAACACCCAGGGCACGTCTACACATGCATTAGTCTGTTTTTCCCAATGCGTGTTAAATTTAGAACCTCAGGGCATTTATACACATGCTCCAGGTGTGTGCGCGGGGGGGGGGGGACATATGACACTTTAATTAGAGGGGCTCTAAATAAATCTCCCAGAGCATCTTGTGCATCAGCATCCCCTTTGCTTCAAAATGGCCACGGGGACACTGTATCTAAACATAGCTGAACGAGCTTTAGAACAAATGCCCCCACAGCCATTTTGAAGTGCAGGGATGCCCATACACAAGAGCGGTAAGTACCATGCTCGAGCAGGCTCAATTCATCACTTCAAGGAATGCGCAAACACACTGCTGCCAAATAAAATGGGCTGCTGCGCATTAAGCATCGCTAAAAAAAAGCGGACGTTTTCGTTACCGCACATAAGGGCAGCCTCGCACACATTTACTTGTTACCTCGCCTCAGAGGACGCTTTATACACACGTGGGGGCAGCCTCGCTGCTCATGTACGGGAGCCCTGCAACAAGAGGTACAAGCAACCGCTGCTTAACACTGATTCACTATAGCGCTCGTTTGAAACGGATCCCCAATTTTACTTTGCACTCGGCGAGTTTCGTTATCACGCTCGCAGTCACCATCTCGGGTCGTCAAATACTTTTGGTTGTTGCTTTAAACACCTGGCTGTCGCTTTAAACGCCCGTTTTTTCTGGGAGCCAATTCAGCGCACTAAGCAAGGGGTGCCCGTACTAAATAACAACCCCCCCCCCAATTCAGCGCACTAAGCAAGGGGTGCCCGTACTAAATAACACACACGCACACACGGCTGCCCAAACATGCGGTAGCAAAAACACCTGCTTTTTTTGAGCCAGGCTTGATGCTGCTCGGCCTGTTTTACACTTCAGCGGCACATCTCTTCATGTGACGCTTTAAAGCACGGTACAACAGGCACGTGTGTAAGACTGACTGCTTAAAAATGGTATTTAAAGGTTTGGGGTTTTTTATGGTAATAGTATAAACGCGCCCCTGGGGCCTCTGATGGAGGCTTAACACGTGTGTGGGGGGGGGGGGGCGCAGCAGCCTAAATCCCTGAGCCCGGCCCCTCCAGCGCCTGCTGCGGGGCAGGATGCTCCCTCGTGCTGCCCCGGGGCCGGGGCCAGGGCCGCGGGGTTGGTACCGTGGAAGGTGGGTTGGGCGCCGACCCGCAGCAGGTAGACACTGTTCCGAGCCGCGAAGCCGAAGAGCCGCGCGCCGGCGCTCGCGTCACTGCAGCGGCTGAGGTACCAGTTGGGCGAGGCAGGCAGCAGGAGCTCCGCCGCCATCGCGTGCTCGCGGATCTGCCGTTGCCCAGCACCGCCGTCAACGGTCGCAAAAAGACCTTTGACCCCCGCCGTTGGTTCTGCGCATGCGCGGGTGCCACTCTACGCATGAGCTGGGGTTCCGCGTATACGCGGTCAGAGTGAGGCGGCCGCGATGGCGGCGGTCATGGTGGGTGAGTGAGGGGAGGTTGGGGAAGCTGCTGGGCGGTGGTTTCGCGGCTCGTGCAGGGTAGTGTTTGTTTGTTGTTTCGTGCAGGTGTCGCTTGGGTGCGGACGGTGCTCCCCGGGGCCCGGCCGGAAAGGTGAGTCTGTCTCCCCTCCCCTCCCCATCTTCCGTGCCCTCAGTGTGCTGGAGGGGGGCGGCTGCATTTTGATTTTGAAGCTGAATGCAAACTATGACGTGACTTAAGAGAGAAGAAACTTGTTTAAAAAAGCCTGCAGTGGAAGTGGGGGCTTGGAAAAGACTATTGTTAAAACAAGTGTGAAATATTTTGGGTTCAGCTGCACTCTTAAAACCTGGTTTGAGGGAGATGAAACCAGCTGGTGGCTTCTAACGGTGCAATTTCCTATTTCTTCAACAAAGCGAGTGTCCTTGGCCTGAATCTGGCTTTCAAGCAGAGGATTGAATGTTTTTTTTTTCCTATTTAAGTTTTAGGAACCAGCGTAGTTTTATGGTGACTGACTTTGTTCTCATTTAAAACTCCTTGGATAGATACTAGGTAATTCTGACCAAAATGTGATGTGACAGTAATTTGAGTTTCTAACAGTTCTCTGGTATCCAGAAGTCTAGATAATATTTGACTTAGAAGTATTAATTAAAACCTCTTTTAAAGTTGACTCAGAAAAGTCAACAGAAAAGTGAGGGGGCTGCAGGTGCTCGACCACCTGGGTGATAGCGATCATTGCCTGCTGGAATTCTCCATCCAGCCCAAGGTGGCAAAGGCATGCAGTAAGGCAGCGGCCCTAGATTTTAGGAGGGCAAACTTCAACGAGCTAAGGAGGATAGTTGGAGAAGCGCTGAGGTCCC